GTTTCTCCTCCTCTCAGCTTCCCACACATGGCACTTGCTTCCCTAAAACTCTCTGCACCACCCTTCTAAATTCTCCAAATCTCCAAGTTCTGCTGCCACTTCTCCCCTTCCTCTCCCGCATGACTCAGTTCTTCATTATGTAGCTCTCCAATAATATGGTTTATTTTGCCCTATCACACAAATATAGTGGTAAAGAACAGAAAGAAAGCTCCAGAGTGCTGTGACTGGGCACACATTCCACAGCTGCACCTGCCAGCTTGGACCAGTTTCTTGGAGATGAACCATTTTCCCAGTGATGGTTTAGACCTCCATCACTTCCTCTTCTGCCCACTGCTCCCGAGGGCCAGGGTCTGGGAGAAGCTCATGACTGAGCCTGACAGAAGAAAACATTTTGCTGGGATGCCAGAGGGCACTGATGTCATAGGCAAGGGGAGCAAACCAGATGGGCAGGTTCGCAGAATGTTTTATCCCCACTCTAAATTGTTTTGTTGTTTTTTTAGTGGGTGCTACCCTACTCCCTAGCAGAGAGTGAACGGCTTGCTGTGGGAACTGCATTAACTTAACAGTCTGCTAAGATCAAAGGCTTCTTTTCAATCTGGACAAGCCCATTGGTGTCATTCTTATCACATTAGGAATGATGAATTTTTTGGAGCTCCCATATAGTTTAAGTGAAATATAAGTTCACTTACAGGGGAAGGACAGTTCTATCTCATGTATCTATGGACTCCAAGGCAATCCACCATCATTAGGTCATGCACCTGGAATTCAGTTTCAGGGAAGAGGGCACACAGAGCCTGCCTATACCCATCATACTTACCACTTCTTCCTTCTGTCCTCCACGTGCTTCTGAACTCATCATTGTCCATCCCCTGCAGACCAGCTCCTTCGCTGTATTCCCCATCTCAGAATGCTACCACTGACCAACCAGCTCTCCAAGCCAGGAACCTGGGAATCAGCTTGGACCCCTCCTCTTCATTGGCCCCCCATGTCCAATCTATTTCCAAGTCCTATGATTTTGTCCCCTTGGGATATCTCATCTTACATCAGGTCACTGGCATCTCTTGCTTGAAGGACTGCAGTGGTCTCCTAGCTGGTCTCCCTGTACCCACTGCCATGTTACCTCCCCGTGTAAGCTGCTAGTGAATGGGCCATTTGAGGCTATCCCGGTTCTTAACTATACTTGCCTTTGGGTTAATCTGAGCACACTGTCCTATCTTCCCAGAACAGTAAGAATCCAACTTCAAAATCATTAGCGGATAATGTAATTTTTAGTGAAGGACTCTATGGGAGCTTATATTGAGATTGCAGAGCAATACTTCCTACACTGACCCCTTAGTTATCTCTCCTCCTTCTCCAAATTCCCCCATAATGTTAGCTTGACACATCTCTTCCTCCCTATCCTTCCCCTACTACCCTGCAGCTGTCCAACAGTCAAATTAGCTGTCTCCTCCTGAGACTCCACATCTCTATTTCTCTCAGCTGCCACTTCATACTGAAAAGGCCTCACCCCAAATAACTCCTTAAAGCCCTCAGTAAAGTCCAAACTCCATAATATGGTCTACTAGGCTTTGCAAGGCCCAGCACCAGCTCCTTCTACCCACTTTTTCCTGCTTGAACAGTTTGCCCCACCACATTGCAGTGTGGTAGGGTTTACCCCTGGTCTGCCATGTTCTCTTCTATTTAGGTGATTGCTCATGCTGTCCTTTTTGCCTGAAAAGCCCTCCCCTTCTTCCCTATGGTTAACACCTACTGGCCTTTCAGGGCTCAACCTGAACATTTCCTCCTGGGCACCTTCCTTACAATCTCTAAGACTGTGTTAGGTGGTCTCACAGTTTGCTCTTATCATAATGTGCTCTAAGTGACTGTTTGAATATAAACCTTGAGGACAGAGTTTTATTACTGTATGTCCTAGGCCTAAATTATAGCAAGCACCCAAAGATGATGAATAACGAGATGAGCAAAAGCTCAAAAGGACAACCCTGACTGGGGTCTGTAGCTTTAGTAAAGAATGGAGCCCACAGGCCCCTTAAGTGTTAAACCCTAAATCTACCTCATTTGTGTTCTAACCAGCAAAGGTTAGTACCCGGGCTCACAGAAACAAAATACACCTTTGGAGTTCCATGGATGATCATAAATGCTTCTAGCAATTTAGCTGTATTCCTTCTAAAACAGGGAGCCTGAACTTGCCACATGCCCACCACTTTGGTGACTGTTGCAAGACTTTGCACAAAATAAACTGAATCCTTACTATTTACAAGCAGTCTTCCACCTAGAGTCCTATTGGGTTACTTAGCTGACTCCACTTTTCTCTTCTTAAGAGACTACCCAATTATCGCCATCAGCATCTATTTTTTGGTCTTTCCAGGCAACAATCATGTAGGAGTGGTACGACTCAAGAGGGTAGTATTAATACATTTAAACACACCCCTAGGATGGGGAAGCATCTGGTCTTTAGGATGCCTCTAGGATATATAAACTCCTATAAGGCCATGTACTTAGACTGAAGATCATATCTGGCCAGGGCTCTTCCTGCTTGACTTCTGAAGGCCAGCAAAGAACAACTAGAAGCTTTACATAACCCAGAATACAACAGATGGTTCTTATTGTTTTATTTTGAAATAATTTGTGTTGTATTCCAACTGAAAAAGTAGTACTTTCTAATTACAGACAATTTGACAAATACAGAAAAGCATAAATAAAAATAAAAATATAGATATCATTTCCATCAAGACTTATCACCACAAACATTTGGGGGGTTATTTTCTTCTATGCTTTTTTGTTATAAGCAATTAGTATGTATGTATATGTATACGTACATTCTCCTGTACAGACCTGAATAATATTGCTTAAAATTTTATTTTTTCAGCATTTAAAAATGAAACAAAGTTGCAGTAATAAAGTTCAACTTTACAAAAAAAATGTATGATATCTGAAGTGAAATTACAACAATTGCATTCTTCAGAGACAACTGGTATCAGTTTGATAGATTCCTTCAGAATATATACTTACACGTGTATATGTACATATGAAACATTTTTAATTCACTCTCATTATAACGGAATTAGTGTGAGCTTAGTATCCTTCAAACCTTCATTTAGAAAGTGTGTAACATTCAATATTATTGTGTTGAACCACTCCCATATTATCAGGAGTTAAATTTTTTAATTGCCCAGAATGCAATGAGCATAATAATTTATTGTAAGAATTTATCTCCTTATGATAAAATTCTACAAGTAGAATTACTTGATCAAGAGGTGTATGCGTACGAGAAAGACAAATACGAAATGATTTTCCTCATTTGTGGACTACAGCAACGAAGCAAAACTGAAGGAACAAAATAGCAGCAGACTCACAGACTCCAAGAAGGGACTAGCAGTTACTAAAGGGGATGGATGGGGAGAGAGGGAGAAGGGGATTATGGGATATCATGATTGGGACACATGGTGTGTGTGGGGTCATGGGGAAGACAGTGTAGCTCAGAGAAGACAAGTGAGGACTCTGGCATCTTACTACACTGATGGACAGTGACTGCAATGGGGTATGGGGGGGGGACTCAGTAATGAAGGTGAATGTAGTGACCACATTGTTTTCTTGTGAAACCTTCATAAGAGTGTGTATCAATGGTAACTTAATTTAAAAAAAGATGTATATTATCAGGGCCTGATATATACCATCAATTTTCCTTCTAAAAACGTTATATACTCAATATAACACAGGTGCCTAATTTGGTGGGGGGGTGTATCATTAATCTACAATTACATGAGCAACATTATGTTTACTAGACTCCCCACATCACCAAGTCCCCACCACAGTCACTGTCTAATGTTTCGTTAGATTTGATTTTAAAAGGCTCAGATGTGGTGTGACTACAAATCAACTACTTTCAGATTCAAAGTTTGGTTTTATTCCCTTGCTATTGCCAGCATCAATAGAGTTTGTTTTTAACAAGTTTTATAACACCTCCCCCAACATTTTATTGTGATAATTTTTAGATCTACAAAAAGGCTGAAAGAATGGTACAATGAACACAGTGAATACACCAACCGTCTAGATTGTACAGTTAACATTCTGCTGAATTTGCTGTTAGCTTCCCACCCATCAATCCCTGGAGGTTCATTTTTAATATGAAACATCTTTTCAGATCAAGACTCTTCTAATGCAATGCCTCATTTTTGTAATGTCCCCAAATTCACTGCCCTGCACTATGGGATGTAAGTGTGAAAAAGTGTCAAAGTGGGAGTCTACCTAAGCCACTGGGCTTCTGAAGGAGTCGCACAGGGTGGGCGCATGGCTCAGGGTTCTAATCCTGACCCCACTATGAGTCCTCGGTTTTCTCACCTGTACGTCGGAATTCCCCCATACTTGCTAAGGGTTAAAAACACAAATCGCGGGAAGCACTCTATAATGATAGTTTGGACAGTTATTATTCTTTTATTTCCTCCTCGGTTCCGATGAACTTCAAGTCCAAGCAATGGAGTCCCTGTCGGGCCTCTTACACCCACCTTAGTCCATTTTACACCCTCAGTTCCAAGCACTGGTAAAAAGGGGACGAGGTGGCCCAGAGGGCTACGGACCTGAGGCTGAGGGCCGCGACAGCCCCGCCCAGCCCCACCGTCCCGGACTCGTTCGGGCCGCAGCGAGATCAGCCTGCGGACGGGGCCAGACTGCCTCCCTCGGGCGCCGCGCACGCAGAATGACGGCCCGCCGGGCCGTCTCCCGCGCCACCCGCCTCATCTCAGTGAGCGCTCAAAAAAAGCATGTGAGGTGGGGGGCGCTACAGAGGCAGAAAACTAAGGCCCAGGGAGCCTGAGTCACTTGCCTAAGCAGCCTGCGAGTGAATTGCCTTCAGGAATTAAACCCGATCCGTCAGACTTCAAACAATCCCTTTTTTCGCCCCACAGGGGGCGCCGGCCTGCGCGCACGCGCAATCTCCGCAGCCGCGTCCCCTTTAAGAGAATTCCTTTTGCCTTCTTCGACCCCTCTGCTTCCGCTTCACGTTCCCACAATGCAGTGCGGCTGAGCAACTCCGAGCCCGCGGGGACGCTGCGGGGGTACCCCGGCTGAGGCGGCGGCGGCGGCGGCGGCGGCGACGTGGGCTGCGGCAGGCCCGCGGCGTCGGGCGGTGCGGATGTCGGGCTGGGCGGACGAGCGCGGCGGCGAGGGCGACGGGCGCATCTACGTGGGGAACCTTCCGACCGACGTGCGCGAGAAGGACTTGGAGGACCTGTTCTACAAGTACGGCCGCATCCGCGAGATCGAGCTCAAGAACCGGCACGGCCTCGTGCCCTTCGCCTTCGTGCGCTTCGAGGACCCCCGGTGAGGCTGCGCTCCGGCCCGAGGCCCCGGCCCCCGTCTTCCCTCTTCTCCCTCCTACCCGGGGCCTCCCCTCCTCCCTCAGCCAGAGCCCCCTCACGGCGCCCCCGGGTGGAGGATGAGGCCTCCTCTCACCACAGGCTCGGGGCGTCCTTTGCTCAGTCGTCACTTCCTCTGTTATTTTTTTTACTTTACTTGAAAACATAAAAGGTGGGTCTTTGGAGGGCCCGGGCCCGCCCAGGAGAGCCTCAGGGATGGAACAAATGACCATCCTCTCCCTCAGGCCGCAGAGGCACCCCTCAGGGAAAGCGGCCCAGGGCTTGGGAAACTTGGCCGCCCAACCGGCCTGGGGGAGGACTCGGTGAAGAGTAGAGGCGGCCCCTCGCCCTCTGCGCACCCTCCCCCGGCCGGAGCTCGCCCCTAGAGGGGAACAGACTGCGGGGATACGGATGCCTTTGGAGGTCGTAATGGGTCTCTGATGGATCAGATCTCTGTCCGGGCGCGCCCCCCACAAGGCCAGGGCCTCGTGGATTTGGAAAAAAAAAAGTCTGAGGGGGCGCGAATCTCTGATTTCACCCTTCTGTGAGGGAGACACTGCTGGCTGCTTAGGGCCCCCAAGGATTTGGAAGCTCCCGGTCGAGTAACTGGTTCAAAGGGGGTCTTTGTGATCTTGCAAACATTGTCGATCTGACCGGAAAAGACCTAGAAACTTTCGAATTGCTGCTGGTTGGTTCTCAGAAGCCACCGCGCTGTACTTACCGGTCAGTTCAGTTACGGTAAATAAGAGCCTGCTGTTGTCCAGCGTTGTCCCCGGGAATGCTTTGCCTCCCTGCTCTCTTTAGGGTGCCTTTCTTAACCTGGTGTGGGGGATGGGGAGAGGAGACCATCGGAGGTCGGGGAGGCAGGAAGCGCCCTGAGGCTTTGATGGCTCTGAAGACTGACAGCTCAATTTCTAGCGTTTTGCCATTTGTCTCAAAAATGGATCTAGGCGTATTCACACCTTAATTGGAGAAGGTTGCACCTCTACTAATTAATAACAGTTCCGGTGTGTTTTTTGAACATTTGCTGCTAAACTTTAGCCTAATTTTCAACGTGTAAGTTTGTAGTGTTAACCGCATTTCACAAATGAGGAAACTGAGGATTTAGAGAACTGTTGATGAAAAGCGAATGCTAGTAACGGATCAACCCAGGATTTGAACCCCTTGTTCTTTCAGAATACAGATTTACTGTATGATGTTAGATTCTCATCTGTTCACATTCCTTTTATAAAGAAAAGTTATCTTTTGTTATCACTAGTTCCAAGCAAAACACTGCCTAAGCTCCAAGCAGAATACTGCATACATATTATCTTATTTAATCCTTATAATAACCCTGTTTAACAGGCATATTACATCTAGAAATGTCAAATTTTGATAAAAAGCATGCAGAGACAGCTGAAGAATTTCAACTTGGGTCAGTCTGTATTCAAAATCTGTTCTTAAACCCTAGCAGTTCAGCCTCTCTGTTATACAGAGCCAGGATTGCACTGGATGTTGTCCTCATTGCTTTTAATCCTGTGACTAGAATCTTGGTAAGTGATTATGTATGCACCTGTGACAACTGAATGATGGTCCTCATTAGCCCATCTCCAACTCTGCTTGTCCACCCAACCTCTGAGGCTGTTCTTCCTCCCACCCAATATTGGAGAACCAGCTTGGCATTTCTAACCCTCCTAGAGCCTAAGAAAGGCTTAAAGTAACCTTACTGAATATTTACCTCTTTTGGTGAAATTATACTGAGTGTGGTTTTGGGAACTACAAACTATGATGATGAAGATATACTTGAAAGAGCTCCAAATTCCTCACAAAGCACTAATTTGCATGTCTTTTGAGCCTTCTTTTTAAGTAGGTTTTTCTTTCTGTAGATTTGATGGTATTAGACCTTGTGGAAGAATATTATAGTGTGTAGTGTGCATTTTGAGAAACTGCTCACCAAGGTTAGAGAGACACTTTTCATTGGTGAAATCAGTAATCTAGCAAGTTTTTTTTCCTACCAAATTAGTCCTCTTTAAGTGTTTACCCAGGCATTATATTTCATACCTAGAATATGTGACAGCTATAAAGTTTAATTCCAGTATCATGGAAGGTCTTCATGTAGTGCATCAAGATCCTGTTTTTTCTCACTGTAGGTTTCCCTCTTTTATTTGTTACACATGCCCCTCACTGGAAAGTCAGCCAGCCTCCTGAGCAACACTAACTCCAAACTTTTCTTTGCAGAGATGCTGAGGATGCAATTTACGGAAGGAATGGTTATGATTATGGCCAGTGTCGACTTCGTGTGGAGTTTCCCAGGACTTACGGAGGTCGGGGTGGGTGGCCCCGCGGTGGGAGGAATGGGCCTCCTACAAGAAGATCTGATTTCCGAGTTCTTGTTTCAGGTATGTTCCTTTCAGACCGAATGAGGGGATGCGTGTAAAATACTTAGCACAGAGTCTGATCTCTTAAGAAATGTTAACTGTTATTCCTCAGTGCATGGGATGCATGGGGCTTTCTCTTCTATAGCCCATGTACAGTGACAGTCTGAAGACTTTCCACACTTTGCCAGTGAGGCAGGTATCTTGCAAATGAAATTGCACTTGGTACAGTTTTGGTAGAACATAAACTTGCTTTTTATAAAGGAATTTTCTAGTTTTGAAAGGGAAGTTGATAGCAAAACCCACTGAGCTGGGATTCTAAAGATGTTTTATATTGGAATGTACCTTAGTATCAAACTTACTAGAATGACATTCCAGGAGCCAGATTTTGAACAACTTACCCAGCTTTGGATCCTGAAAAGGGCCAGCTTTTGTGGTAGTTTTGGAATTAGCAAAAAAGAAAAAGTAAAAACTGGGAGTCTTAGGGATTGTGTTGCAGAGTGTATAATGAAATATCCAGGATCGACAAATGATGACATGCTAAGCTCAAAAATTTATGCATCTTTTCAAAATATTGACACATTGGTAAAGACATGCAGCCTTCTGCACATTGCAGGGGTGTTAGGGCCCTGGTGGAGTGAAATATTTTTGAGGAGCCTGGCACCTTCTTAGATGTGAATGTCACATAATCACAGCAGATTAATCACATGGTGCTTAAGAATGATGCTCTCAATATCTGCCTATCTTGTGTCCCTTTGTTATTTTTTAACCCCAGAACTCTATTCCCTCTTTAGGATGTCATAAATATCTTTTTTTCCTCTCCATGCTGCTCTGAAATCCTGTTTAGAAAACTATTAGGAAATGGCTGCAGTCCTGAGCTGTGAGCGGTAAACACAGCCATTGAAAGCAGGAGCACATTTCCCTTTCATGATATCAGGTAGGGTTGTATGACTCCCAACTAGTTTTAGCATCTGATTCTTACCTTTTCCCCCACTGTATTGAAGAATGTTGGTGATCTTTAAAAGGTATTCTGTCTAGATTGTCTGTCATTCATACCTACAAGAAAACAAGCTTCAGATTGTTCTATTACCTTCAGCTATACTTCGGTTATTTCATTGGTGGTTTCAAATTCCTGTGTCCTAGGAACCCAGTTAAGCAAGAATAACTAGTACTGACAGATTTCATAATGGAAAAAATTAGAGCTCAGAGTCTTTGGAGTTTGAAATTATTTATGAAAGACAAGAAAGAAAGACTAAATTTTCAAGAGATACTAATCCTATATTGGGATGGACTTCTTGCTGTCAGAAAGGGTTGGTCTTTGATTAGCATAGGACCAGCTTCTTAAGGTGATTTACCACACATATTTTAGTGTTCTTTGGGTTTGTGTCCAAGATTTGTGATTTGGGGATCCTTAGGATTTAAGAATCCTTAGGATTTAAGAGTAGTAATCATGTCCAAGATTTGTGATTTGGGGGTCCTCAGGATTTAAGAGTAGTAATTGATGGAGAAGAGACCTGAGGTATTGCTGGCTATTAACAGGGCAGTTAAACATGGCTGAAGGATGTGGCCTCTTCTCTTATGTTCTCTGTGCCTAGGACTGCCCCCATCAGGCAGCTGGCAGGACCTGAAGGATCACATGCGAGAAGCTGGGGATGTCTGTTACGCAGATGTGCAGAAGGATGGAATGGGAATGGTTGAGTATCTCAGAAAAGAAGACATGGAATATGCCCTTCGTAAACTGGATGACACCAAATTCCGCTCGCATGAGGTAGGTCCCCACCTGTTGAGCCTGTACTCAGGCCACTCCACCTGAAGCTGATCTTGCAGAAGTAGCAGCAGGCCATGCATTTGCCATTTGATTACCTCACAGTACCATTAAAGATCTGTCTTAAGTGGACAGAGTCAATCAATTCATCATGCCTAAGCCCTGCAGGGATTTAAGAGAGAGAAGTCTGCAGTCATAGTATTTTTAAGCCACAGAGAGTACTGGTGCAGTCATGTGGTGAGCTGTTCTGTGATACCAGCTCTTTTCACAACTGGCTTAATCTGCAGTGTCCCTGTGTAAACCTAATTATTATGGCTGTCGTTCCTACTGGTCTAGTCTGGGCTCTATTATCATCTCAGCCATTATAGGTACTGTTTTTGGGGCTAACTTGTCACTTCATTTTTCCTTTCCCAAAGTAGTACAAGCCCCTTTTGAAACGGGAGCCCCCTGACTCAAATGGTGACTTTTCCTTTGATACCACTGAGACCAGATATGAGATCACTGCCACAATTGGACATTGTTTTCTGGTTATCCTGTTCTGATTTGCCGTGGGGTTTTAGCATGTCTGGAGACATCAATTTCCAGGCTCATTTTGTTTTCTAAGGATTCATGTTAACTCCTCAGTTTTATGGCTTGGAGGCTGCATGGCTGAATAGTACTTTTGCTCAGACTATTCTCTAGGACGTAAATTTAGAACAGAAACAAAGCAGCACCTGGTCCCCAGTTGTACTGCAAAGCAGGGCCTCAGTAAGGGTAAATCCAGTTACTGACTTCACCTAGGAAAAAGCATCTGGTTAATTTTATCTAGCATCTTTAGCTCTTAGAATGCTGGCTGAAGGCAAAGTGTCTCGAGAAAGGCCTGGATATGACTCCTCTGCTGCTTACATAATTTCTTAGCCAAGTTACTCTCTGAAACCTGCAAAATAGTCAAAATAATAATATTTGTCTTGTAAGAACTGCCAGGGAGCTAAATTATGAAGATAACTGAGGATTTAGCTCAGGTCCTGACACCTGGGAGGTATTGAATACAGATTAATTCTTTGGTCCTCAGCTATAGATGCATGTATGAGGTGGCAGGGGATTGAACTGTTATGATCTCTGAGACCCTTTCCAGTTTATTTTAGAGATCTGTGGGTCTAACAGTAATAGCTAGTATTTGAGCATTTACCACGTCATGTTGCCATTTATTTATGTCACATTGGGCAGATGGTAACATTCAATTTTCCTCATTCTTGAAGGGAGCTAGTAGTAAGACTATCTCAGCATTATTGTGAGGGTTTAATGAGAGAATATCGCGCAAGGCAAATAGCAAGTGCTCAATACTTAACTATCATTGTTAGACAGTCATGTTATGTGTTATTGTGCTTTATTCTTCTGGATCATATACTTTCCTTTACTATTTTTGTTTGAATTTCAGGGTGAAACTTCCTACATCCGGGTTTATCCAGAGAGAAGCACCAGCTATGGCTACTCACGGTCTCGGTCTGGGTCAAGAGGCCGTGACTCTCCATACCAAAGCAGGGGTTCCCCACACTACTTCTCTCCTTTTAGGCCCTACTGAGACAGGTGACGGAAATTTTTTCTTTATTTTTTAGATGAAACTGAGCTGCTTTGTGCTCAGAATCTACATTCCAGATTGATAATTTAGTGTCTTAGGAAATTTTTTTAATTTTTTTTTTAAGGAACTAAAACTACATAATTTCTACCAGGGCCATATAAGCAGTGAAACATTTTAAACTGCAGAAATTGTGGTTTTTGTTCAGAAATAAGTTGTATATTTTTCACCCCTGATTATGGGGAAAAAATCAGTGCTGTGTCTTTGTGGGTTACTCTGCTCTGGAGATGAGCAGTTACTGTGACTGAGTCGGCCCATTCTGTTTAGAAATATATTTTAAATGTTTAGTAATTGACGTGTGGTTGTCCTTGATTAAATGAATTCATAGATTTCACCAACCAGGCACACTGATTTAAAAAAAAAAATCACTGAGTTGTAATGGCAGCTTGTACCTGCCTGATAAGGAGCAGGAGGGGGAACTTTATTTGGGGATAAAGATAATTACTCTGATGGTGATTCAGGATTCTCTTATAATTCAAGGCCAAGCTTGTAACTGAAATGCCTTAAAGAAAAAGGGAGCATTGCAGATAGGGCAAGGGAAGGGGAAGAATAAAAACAGACTTTTAAAAATGGGCGGCAACATAAAGATCACTGGGAAATTCTTAGCCAAAACCAACTTTGGCAGTTTAGTCAGGAAAAAAAAAATCTCTTGGTTCTCACTCTTACCCCTACATCTGTCTCATTTATCCTTGGTATCTGAGCTTTTTTTTACAAAAAAAAAACAAACCTATATCTTGGATTCCACAGTTTGATAATTACTGGTGGGGGGCTTCTTTGTCCCAGGCCCAGGCTGTTTTTTTTCTTTTTAAGTCATTTTGTTAAGTATGCCTGACGTAAAAAGTCATTTATTTTATGTATACAACTCAGTGAGTTTGGGGTTTAAGTGTATACTCTTGAAACCATCACTACCATCAAGGCCACAAACATCCGTCACTTCTCAAAATTCCCTCTTTTAATATTTATATGTGGTAAGAACATTTAAGATCTACCCTCTTGGCAAATTTTTAGTATACAGTATAGTATTGTTAGCTGTCTTAGGGTTATTTTTACAGTTCTTTTCAGAAAAACTATAGGTGTGGCTACAGTATCCCTTTTGCATATATTCACTTTGTGGCATGGTGGATGGTTCTAGGTTAGAAGTTCCCAAGCTGTAGAATCTACTTTAAATACCCTTCAGATTTTAGGAAAAAGTTAGCCCTCTGCCTGGAACAAAGTGGGTACCCAGGATAACTGAGTATGTTTAGTAAAGATAAAAGGCTGCTTGAGTTGCCAGAAAGAGCAACTAAAAAGGACAACCTGGGCTGTGAATATACTGATTAGACACAATGTCTAATAGTTACAAAAAAAAAAATACACTTAAGTGCAGTTTCAGACAGTCATTTTGGGAGATATGGGGGAATAGTGTCTTATAGACTGAATTGCCTGTGAGTAAATACTTGATCTATTTCCTTGGAAACTGACAATACCTTTTACTTCCATTACCATCAGGAACTCATTGCCTTGCTTTGGCTGGATCTTTCCCAGTTCTGTCTTTATGGTTATGATTATGGCCAGTGTCGACTTCGTGTGGAGTTTCCCAGGACTTACGGAGGTCGGGGTGGGTGGCCCCGCGGTGGGAGGAATGGGCCTCCTACAAGAAGATCTGATTTCCGAGTTCTTGTTTCAGGTATGTTCCTTTCAGACCGAATGAGGGGATGCGTGTAAAATACTTAGCACAGAGTCTGATCTCTTAAGAAATGTTAACTGTTATTCCTCAGTGCATGGGATGCATGGGGCTTTCTCTTCTATAGCCCATGTACAGTGACAGTCTGAAGACTTTCCACACTTTGCCAGTGAGGCAGGTATCTTGCAAATGAAATTGCACTTGGTACAGTTTTGGTAGAACATAAACTTGCTTTTTATAAAGGAATTTTCTAGTTTTGAAAGGGAAGTTGATAGCAAAACCCACTGAGCTGGGATTCTAAAGATGTTTTATATTGGAATGTACCTTAGTATCAAACTTACTAGAATGACATTCCAGGAGCCAGATTTTGAACAACTTACCCAGCTTTGGATCCTGAAAAGGGCCAGCTTTTGTGGTAGTTTTGGAATTAGCAAAAAAGAAAAAGTAAAAACTGGGAGTCTTAGGGATTGTGTTGCAGAGTGTATAATGAAATATCCAGGATCGACAAATGATGACATGCTAAGCTCAAAAATTTATGCATCTTTTCAAAATATTGACACATTGGTAAAGACATGCAGCCTTCTGCACATTGCAGGGGTGTTAGGGCCCTGGTGGAGTGAAATATTTTTGAGGAGCCTGGCACCTTCTTAGATGTGAATGTCACATAATCACAGCAGATTAATCACATGGTGCTTAAGAATGATGCTCTCAATATCTGCCTATCTTGTGTCCCTTTGTTATTTTTTAACCCCAGAACTCTATTCCCTCTTTAGGATGTCATAAATATCTTTTTTTCCTCTCCATGCTGCTCTGAAATCCTGTTTAGAAAACTATTAGGAAATGGCTGCAGTCCTGAGCTGTGAGCGGTAAACACAGCCATTGAAAGCAGGAGCACATTTCCCTTTCATGATATCAGGTAGGGTTGTATGACTCCCAACTAGTTTTAGCATCTGATTCTTACCTTTTCCCCCACTGTATTGAAGAATGTTGGTGATCTTTAAAAGGTATTCTGTCTAGATTGTCTGTCATTCATACCTACAAGAAAACAAGCTTCAGATTGTTCTATTACCTTCAGCTATACTTCGGTTATTTCATTGGTGGTTTCAAATTCCTGTGTCCTAGGAACCCAGTTAAGCAAGAATAACTAGTACTGACAGATTTCATAATGGAAAAAATTAGAGCTCAGAGTCTTTGGAGTTTGAAATTATTTATGAAAGACAAGAAAGAAAGACTAAATTTTCAAGAGATACTAATCCTATATTGGGATGGACTTCTTGCTGTCAGAAAGGGTTGGTCTTTGATTAGCATAGGACCAGCTTCTTAAGGTGATTTACCACACATATTTTAGTGTTCTTTGGGTTTGTGTCCAAGATTTGTGATTTGGGGATCCTTAGGATTTAAGAATCCTTAGGATTTAAGAGTAGTAATCATGTCCAAGATTTGTGATTTGGGGGTCCTCAGGATTTAAGAGTAGTAATTGATGGAGAAGAGACCTGAGGTATTGCTGGCTATTAACAGGGCAGTTAAACATGGCTGAAGGATGTGGCCTCTTCTCTTATGTTCTCTGTGCCTAGGACTGCCCCCATCAGGCAGCTGGCAGGACCTGAAGGATCACATGCGAGAAGCTGGGGATGTCTGTTACGCAGATGTGCAGAAGGATGGAATGGGAATGGTTGAGTATCTCAGAAAAGAAGACATGGAATATGCCCTTCGTAAACTGGATGACACCAAATTCCGCTCGCATGAGGTAGGTCCCCACCTGTTGAGCCTGTACTCAGGCCACTCCACCTGAAGCTGATCTTGCAGAAGTAGCAGCAGGCCATGCATTTGCCATTTGATTACCTCACAGTACCATTAAAGATCTGTCTTAAGTGGACAGAGTCAATCAATTCATCATGCCTAAGCCCTGCAGGGATTTAAGAGAGAGAAGTCTGCAGTCATAGTATTTTTAAGCCACAGAGAGTACTGGTGCAGTCATGTGGTGAGCTGTTCTGTGATACCAGCTCTTTTCACAACTGGCTTAATCTGCAGTGTCCCTGTGTAAACCTAATTATTATGGCTGTCGTTCCTACTGGTCTAGTCTGGGCTCTATTATCATCTCAGCCATTATAGGTACTGTTTTTGGGGCTAACTTGTCACTTCATTTTTCCTTTCCCAAAGTAGTACAAGCCCCTTTTGAAACGGGAGCCCCCTGACTCAAATGGTGACTTTTCCTTTGATACCACTGAGACCAGATATGAGATCACTGCCACAATTGGACATTGTTTTCTGGTTATCCTGTTCTGATTTGCCGTGGGGTTTTAGCATGTCTGGAGACATCAATTTCCAGGCTCATTTTGTTTTCTAAGGATTCATGTTAACTCCTCAGTTTTATGGCTTGGAGGCTGCATGGCTGAATAGTACTTTTGCTCAGACTATTCTCTAGGACGTAAATTTAGAACAGAAACAAAGCAGCACCTGGTCCCCAGTTGTACTGCAAAGCAGGGCCTCAGTAAGGGTAAATCCAGTTACTGACTTCACCTAGGAAAAAGCATCTGGTTAATTTTATCTAGCATCTTTAGCTCTTAGAATGCTGGCTGAAGGCAAAGTGTCTCGAGAAAGGCCTGGATATGACTCCTCTGCTGCTTACATAATTTCTTAGCCAAGTTACTCTCTGAAACCTGCAAAATAGTCAAAATAATAATATTTGTCTTGTAAGAACTGCCAGGGAGCTAAATTATGAAGATAACTGAGGATTTAGCTCAGGTCCTGACACCTGGGAGGTATTGAATACAGATTAATTCTTTGGTCCTCAGCTATAGATGCATGTATGAGGTGGCAGGGGATTGAACTGTTATGATCTCTGAGACCCTTTCCAGTTTATTTTAGAGATCTGTGGGTCTAACAGTAATAGCTAGTATTTGAGCATTTACCACGTCATGTTGCCATTTATTTATGTCACATTGGGCAGATGGTAACATTCAATTTTCCTCATTCTTGAAGGGAGCTAGTAGTAAGACTATCTCAGCATTATTGTGAGGGTTTAATGAGAGAATATCGCGCAAGGCAAATAGCAAGTGCTCAATACTTAACTATCATTGTTAGACAGTCATGTTATGTGTTATTGTGCTTTATTCTTCTGGATCATATACTTTCCTTTACTATTTTTGTTTGAATTTCAGGGTGAAACTTCCTACATCCGGGTTTATCCAGAGAGAAGCACCAGCTATGGCTACTCACGGTCTCGGTCTGGGTCAAGAGGCCGTGACTCTCCATACCAAAGCAGGGGTTCCCCACACTACTTCTCTCCTTTTAGGCCCTACTGAGACAGGTGACGGAAATTTTTTCTTTATTTTTTAGATGAAACTGAGCTGCTTTGTGCTCAGAATCTACATTCCAGATTGATAATTTAGTGTCTTAGGAAATTTTTTTAATTTTTTTTTTAAGGAACTAAAACTACATAATTTCTACCAGGGCCATATAAGCAGTGAAACATTTTAAACTGCAGAAATTGTGGTTTTTGTTCAGAAATAAGTTGTATATTTTTCACCCCTGATTATGGGGAAAAAATCAGTGCTGTGTCTTTGTGGGTTACTCTGCTCTGGAGATGAGCAGTTACTGTGACTGAGTCGGCCCATTCTGTTTAGAAATATATTTTAAATGTTTAGTAATTGACGTGTGGTTGTCCTTGATTAAATGAATTCATAGATTTCACCAACCAGGCACACTGATTTAAAAAAAAAAATCACTGAGTTGTAATGGCAGCTTGTACCCGCCTGATAAGGAGCAGGAGGGGGAACTTTATTTGGGGATAAAGATAATTACTCTGATGGTAATTCAGGATTCTCTTATAATTCAAGGCCAAGCTTGTAACTGAAATGCCTTAAAGAAAAAGGGAGCATTGCAGATAGGGCAAGGGAAGGGGAAGAATAAAAACAGACTTTTAAAAATGGGCGGCAACATAAAGATCACTGGGAAATTCTTAGCCAAAACCAACTTTGGCAGTTTAGTCAGGAAAAAAAAAATCTCTTGGTTCTCACTCTTACCCCTACATCTGTCTCATTTATCCTTGGTATCTGAGCTTTTTTTTACAAAAAAAAAACAAACCTATATCTTGGATTCCACAGTTTGATAATTACTGGTGGGGGGCTTCTTTGTCCCAGGCCCAGGCTGTTTTTTTTCTTTTTAAGTCATTTTGTTAAGTATGCCTGACGTAAAAAGTCATTTATTTTATGTATACAACTCAGTGAGTTTGGGGTTTAAGTGTATACTCTTGAAACCATCACTACCATCAAGGCCACAAACATCCGTCACTTCTCAAAATTCCCTCTTTTAATATTTATATGTGGTAAGAACATTTAAGATCTACCCTCTTGGCAAATTTTTAGTATACAGTATAGTATTGTTAGCTGTCTTAGGGTTATTTTTACAGTTCTTTTCAGAAAAACTATAGGTGTGGCTACAGTATCCCTTTTGCATATATTCACTTTGTGGCATGGTGGATGGTTCTAGGTTAGAAGTTCCCAAGCTGTAGAATCTACTTTAAATACCCTTCAGATTTTAGGAAAAAGTTAGCCCTCTGCCTGGAACAAAGTGGGTACCCAGGATAACTGAGTATGTTTAGTAAAGATAAAAGGCTGCTTGAGTTGCCAGAAAGAGCAACTAAAAAGGACAACCTGGGCTGTGAATATACTGATTAGACACAATGTCTAATAGTTACAAAAAAAAAAATACACTTAAGTGCAGTTTCAGACAGTCATTTTGGGAGATATGGGGGAATAGTGTCTTATAGACTGAATTGCCTGTGAGTAAATACTTGATCTATTTCCTTGGAAACTGACAATACCTTTTACTTCCATTACCATCAGGAACTCATTGCCTTGCTTTGGCTGGATCTTTCCCAGTTCTGTCTTCAGTAGAGTTAGTAAAAAATACTTAACCATCAGGTTTTTTTCAGATGACTGAAGGAAGTAGGGATGTTAATGTTCACAGTAAAATACTATCGTTGGATGGGCTTCTGTGTATTCACAGGTACCCTTTCCCAGAACAGCTACTTAGCTGTGTGGAAAAGGATCTTGTTCATCCAGCTTTGGCAAAGAGATGTTACCTGTTTGAAAACAGTAACAAAAAAGAATGTTATAGCTGAGTCTGCTTCCCAACTGGCGCCAGCTTATCACTTGCTTTGTCTTGGAAGCAAGTACATAAATAGCCACATAATGGAAATAAGTGTAGCTATTCCTGTTTTTCTAACAATTAATATCTGAAAGATTAACAAGTGACCTTAATGTATACAGAGACAGGTTAGGCATTTATATGCATATAGGAGTGGAAGGGAAGACTATGACTGTGACTCACTGTGTTCCAAGAAGCAAAGTCTGATGCAAGAGTCTATTTGAGAAATACCATATGTGATCAATGGACATGTACTGAAACAGCAATGACTATCAGGTTCTGAGATAGATGATAATAAAATCATATTTCTCTCTACAGTTAACTGAGGTGGTTTAGTGAATCAGAGGCATGATTAAAGAGAGGAGCTTACAAATTTTTTAGCTTTCTTTCCCATCCTTGCTTGAAGTAGAGATTTCCTTTAACTGGTTGATCTTGATCAAGAAGTAACCCCTGAGCTGGAGAGCTGAGCTGATGTTTGTCTCTGGAGGCTGCTTAGAATGGTTCTCCTCTGAGGAGACCTTCTGAACTTGAAGTTGGCACTTGGAAAGCCAGTCTACCTGAGTGCTTAGACTAGTCGCATTCCCAAATGTCCAGAGTGTACAGCAGCTCTGAGAACCCACCTGTCTGCAAAGGAGACAAAACAGTTCAACCCACCCAAGGTTCTGGATTTTATTATGTGCCCAGAGTCATTTTAAAGCTTCCGTTTAAAACAGTTACAGTGAGGTTTAAAGATTCAAACCTCCAGATAGGTTTTTGCAAACTGATGGCTCACAGGATACACCTGGCCTGCAGGGATGTTTTATTTACCTGGAATTTTTTTCCTTTAATCTTGAATTACTTGTCAGTATTTAAAATTTGGGAAATATCACAAAAAATGCCAGATGTCCAGATTCTCTGGGAAAATGGGCTCACATTATTGCCTGGCACTGAATGAGAAGCAGCATCAGTTCCCCCTCTAGGTGAAGTTTGAGCTCCACATTTGCCACTGTACACACCCTTCCCCATCCCAGCCCTGTTTTGCTCATTCCTGTTACTGACTGGCCTCTAGAGGTGAGGGTGACCTCTGGACTCTACTGTGGTTTTTATTTTTTCATCATTATTTCCAGTTTTACTGAGGAACTGACATACACTGTATAAGCTTAAGATGTACAACATAATGATTAGATATTGTGATTAGTTAGCATCCATCATCTCACATAGTAACAAGTTTTTTCCTTGTGGTGAGAACTTTTAAAATCTATTCTCTTAGCAGTCTTCAAATATACAATAGAATATTGTTAACTATAGTCATCATATTATACATTATAACCCAGAACTTACCTTGTAAGTGAAGTTTGTACCTTTTGACCACCTTCACCTAATTCTTGCCTTATACTTTTCAATGGGCTTTCACATAGCAAATTTGGACCAATGTTCCTATGTTCTTAGTTTACTGTGGGACCTGTTAACAACCACTTTGAGCAACACATACCTGGGGGAGCCACAAAATACTCCTCCACAACTCGATGGGCATTTTGTAGTAGTTCTTCAGCACAGTTGCCTTCTACCACATTGTCAGATCTCAAGTATAGACATCTACAAAACAAGAAGCTCAAGGTTACCTTCTCAGCAGGGCTTCTTGGGCATGCATAGGTGGGAAGGGTCACTAATGGCAGAACAAGGGAACAGAGTAGTCCTGTGTCAGAGTCACAGCTAAGAGAAAGAGGAACTGTGGTCAACAGCAGACCACCCAGTCTACAGTTTGTAGAGTTGCCTGACAACCCTGTGAGGTAAGTAGTCATTATTTCTCAGGACCGATGTGTTTAATAAATATTTTTGGATGATTACCACAGGTAAATTACTTTTGGTGGAGATAGGTAAAAAGGCAATTATAACCCAATGTGTTAAGTCTAACAGGTAAGCAAAGCTTGCCAAGGAAGTGGAATGGGGCACCTAATCCAGCTTGGATGAGGAACAGGTACTTCAATGGTGTCAATGCTACAGGATGAGCAAGGAATAGCTGGATGGAGGGATAGGAAGTGGACTTATTGACAGGTGCAGAAACTTGCTAAAGAGTGGTTATAAGTGACAGAACTGGGATCTGAGCCCAGTTTTGGCACACCTGAAATGAGTGTCTTTCTCACCACGGCCCCCTCTGTATATAAAAGTACCTGCCCTTGTATGATGTGCCATAAACATTGCTTAAGAATCCCCCATTGTTCTTTGGGCTTAGTGGCTTCATTAAGGTATTCAGATGACAAACTACTGAAACCAAACAGGAAATGAACCTGTCTGAGGCTTCACTACTGTTTCAATGTTAAAAGTGCACAACAAGAGGTCTGAGTATGCTTCCAGGTACTTGGGCTGAAAAATAGGCAGTTTCCTCACTTTGATAGGGGAGTAGTCAAGCTATCTCTGCTCTGAGCCAGACAGACTGAGGGCTAAAGAAAGGGGCAAAGATGTGACATAAACATCTGGGCACAAAGGCTGCTTAGCAGGCTAAGTTATCATAGGACTCTTTAGGAAAGGCCTATTTTTTTTTTTTTTTTGAGGTATCATTGACATACAATCTTATGAAGATTTCACATAAGCAACATTGTGGTCACTACATTCACCCATATTATTGAGTCCCTCCACACACACCATCACAGTCACTATCCACCAGTGTAGCAAGATGCCAGAGTCACTACTTGCCTTTGTGTTATACTATCTTCCCCATGACCCCACACACATGTGTGCCAGTCATAATCCCCCTCCCCTACTCCCTCCCCAACCTGTCCCCTTTGGTAACTGCTAGTCCCTTCTTGGAGTCTGAGTCTCCTGCTGTTTTGTTCCTTTGCTTTGTAGTTATAATCCACAAATGAGTGAAATTATCTGGTACTTGTTTTTCTCCACCTGGCTTCTTTCACTGAGCATAATACCCTCCCTCCATCCATGTTGCAGAGGATAGTATTGTTTTCTTCTTATGGCTGAATAGTATTCCATTGTGTATATGTACTACCTCTTCTTTATCCATTCATCTACTGATGGACATTAGGTTGCTTTCATATCTTTGCTATTGTAAATAGTGCTGCAGTAAACACAGGAGTGCATATGTCGTTTTGAATTAGGGATCTTTTTTGTTTTAGTAAATTCCTAGAGTGGAATTCCTGGGTCAAATAGTATTTCTATTTTTAGTTTTTTGAGGAACCTCCATATTGCTTTCCACAATGGCTGAACTAATTTACCTTCCCACCAACAGTGTGGGAGGGTTCCCTTTTCTCCACATCCTTGCCAGCATTTGTTGTTCCTAGTCTTTTGGATGTTGGCCATCCTAACTGGTGTGAGGTGATATCTCATTGTGGTTTTAATTTGCATTTCCCTGATAATTAGCAATGTGGAGCATCTTTCCATGTTCCTGTTGGCCATATGAATTTCTCCTTTGGAGAAGTGTCTGTTCATATCATCTGCCCATTTTTTAATGGGGTTGTTTGCTTTTTGGGTGTTGAGGCGTATGAGTTCTTTATATATAATTTTGGATGTTAACCCCTTTTCGGATGTGTCGTTTACAAATATGTTCTCCCATATTCTAGGGTGTCTTTTTGTTCTACTGGTGGTGTCCTTTGCTATACAGCAGTGTTTTAGTTTGATGTAGTCCCATTTGTTAATTTTTGGTTTTGTTACCCTCGCCTGAGCAGATGTATTCAGAAAAAAGTTGCTCATGTTTATATTCAAGAGAGTTTTGCCTATGTTTTCTTCTAATAGTTTTATGTTTTCATGACTTACATTCAGGTCTTTGATCCATTTTGAGTTTACTTTTGTGTATGGGGTTAGACAATAATCCAGTTTCATTCTCTTGCATATAGCTGTCCAGTTTTGCCAACACCAGTTGTTTGAAGAGGCTGTCATTTCCCCATTGTATATCCATGGCTCCTTTATCATATATTAATTGACTATATATGCTTGGGTTTATATCTGGGCTCTCTATTCTATTCCATTGATCTATGGGTCTGTTCTTGTGCCAGTAGCAAATTGTCTTGATTACTGTGGCTTTGTAGTAGAGCTTAAAGTCAGGAAATGTAATCCCCCCAGCTTTATTCTTCCTTCTCAGGATTGCTTTTGACTATTTGGGGTCTTTTGTGGTTCCATATGAATTTGAGAACTATTTGTTCTAGTTTGTTGAAGAAAGCTGTTGGTATTTTGATAGGGATTGCATTGAATCTATAGATTGTCTGAGAGACGATGGCCATTTTGACAATATTAATTCTTCCTATCCATGAGCATGGGATGTTTTTCCATTTATGTCTTCTTTAATTTCTCTCGTGAGTGTCTTGTAGTTTTCAGGGTATAGGTCTTTCACCTCCTTGGTTAGGTTTATTCGTAGGTATTTTATTTTGGATGCAATTGTAAATGGAATTGTTTTCCTGATTTCTTTCTGCTAGTTCATCGTTAGTATATAGGAATGCAACAGATTTCTGTGTATTAATTTTGTATTCTGCAACTTTGCTGAATTCAGTTATTAGTACTAATTGTTTTGGGGTGGAGGGAAAGGCCTATTTCTTTTGTGGCACCCAGCCTAGGGCTAGCCACAGTAAACACTCATGGTACCAAATGCAGAGCTGGAGTCTATCCCAGTTTCTGGCACTATCCTAACTTTGTGGCCTTGAACAAGTATGATCTCTCCAGATCTTAAGTTTCTTGCCAAGAAAGTGAGGGTTACACTAGATTTTTTTTTTTAAACCATACAAGGGTTATGCATCCATTTAACAAAAGTTGGATAATAAAAGCCATCTGTAAAGGTGACCATCGGACTTTCTGGAGTTTATATTTTTGTTGGGTGTGTAACAGTGGCTAAGAGCTTGAGCTCCTGAATCACAGCTGAATTTAAATCCCAGTGCCATACATGGCACGTGTACAAGTTACTTATCTCCATGTATCAGTTTTCTCATTTGTAGAATGCTTCATAGCATTGCTGAGTAGATTAAATGAAATGACATTAAAAAAAGAAGCTCTGAAAATGTTGGGCCTGCATTCTCACACGAGTAAGAGGTAGGTGCTGAACAGCACCTGCTTCTTTGAGAAGAGTGAGTGCACCCAGGTATACCTCAGTCCCCACCCCTCATTCAAAGTGTTCCTATGTATTTATTAACCTGCTGTAATCACGCATAACCAGCCCAGTCCGTACATACTGGAGGCTGCTAAGTGTTGCTGGACACTTGGAGATTTTGACAAAATAAGACTTTCTACTATGACCAGCAAGTGGTTAAAAGCTAGTTTCCCAACAGTAGATCTAAAAGCAATTATTTTATTAATTCCCTTGGTAATCAGGTTTCTTACATAAGTGACAAGAAAAACAAAATTCACCCCTTTAAAAATAGCCACACATTTCCACCTAATTACTGTTTATGCTGGAGTTGTTTCTAGAATAAACCCACACCTCCCTATTTTCTTAATCAGGCTACTGAAGTTAGGGTCTGTGACAGTGGCACGCCAAGAGACACCTTCACTTGGCAAGCTGCTGAACTTTTCTTGACTTCAAATTCATGCATAAAACCCCAAACAAGATCAGATGAGCTCTTTAGATGCTAATCAGTTATTAACTAAGCATTCATCTTTCTCAGAGTTCTGTGAGATAATAAAGCCCAAATACTGCAAGATACCCATTTTGATAAGTATGCATTTGGGCTAATATTAGTTATATACTTGGAAGACTTGAAAAGACAGTCCTTTAAATCTTTCTGTGTTCTGGTTCAGAGGAAAAACCCTAGTTGAGACAGGGTTTGACTGTAAAGCTCACAGACAAGGCACTTAAATCAGTAACTGGGAAATGCTAATAAAAGCATTTAATGAAAGTACCACAGCAGTCCATTTGCAACATGGATGGACCTAGAGGGTATTTTGCTAAGTGAAGTTAAGCCAGGTGAAAAAAAATACCATGTGATTGTCACTTTTTTGTGTAGTATAAAAGCAAAACAACAAAATAGCAGTAAACTCCTAGACACCAAGAAGTGACTGACGGTTACCATGGGGGAGGGAGATAAGGGGCACAAAATCTCAATAATTAGTTGTTTGCAGGGATGGTATGTAGTACAGCATGGAGAATATAGCCAATGATTCTGTAACATCTTCCTATGCTGACAGTAGCTTTACTAGTGGGGTTGAGGATTTAATTAATATGGTAACTTTTGGACCAGTGTGTTATATACTTGAAACCAATGTAAGACTGTATCAACGATACTTCAATTAAAAAAAAAAAGATACAGAAAAAAAGCAATACAGCACAGAGGAAGAAGAGCCTCTGTCAGCCCCTGGCCTGACCAGTTGGAGGGACAATTCTGCTGCTGCTTTCATTTATTTGGCCTCTGCCCTGGTATTAGACTACCAGGAGTTGTTTCTCGGGGCACCACTCTGGGTTGATGTCCCTAGGCACCCTCTTGGAGAGGTGGGTGGGGTGAGTTTAAATGATGCCCCACAGGCCACAATGAAGCTTTTCTTTATCCTCAAGAGCACTGAGAAGCCACCTCAAGGGCTTGGATTAGGAGAATGACAACAAACTACTGTTTTGAAGTGTTGTGCAACTTTGGGCAAATTGGTTAACTGCTCTAGACCTGAGCATCAGATTCCAAAACAGAGACAGGATTTGAAAGAAAGACTAAAGGTGTGAACTGGAGGCTGGTAAGCATTTTACACAAAAATTATGGTTACAGGTAGGTCTGGCTCTCCCTATTGATACTAATGGCAGCTAATCTTTCTTGCTCCCCACCTGTACTAGGAGTTTATTTAAAAATAAAATCACATCAGAAAAATGGTAGGATGGAAAGTTGTATCTTGCTCTTATTTTTATGAGCTACATACCCATCCTCCCCAAGAAGCTGCAGTACCAAACAGCAAACAAGTTCACTTTTCCAAAAAGATCATTGTCTTTAAAAATGTATTAAGATTCGGCAACAGTGGCAGAGATGGGTGGAGGCTGCACCCTTTATAAGTATGCAGCTGACCCCTGAACAACATGGGGGTTAGTGGTGTGGCCCCCCTGAAGGGCAATCAGAAATCCACATATGATTTTTGACTCTCCAAAAACTTTACTAATAGCCTGTTGGCCAGAAGGCTTACCAATAATACAAACAGTTGTTAACACTTTGTATGTTAATATGTATGATATACTTTAAAGTAACCTAAAGAAAACAATGGTTTTATCAAATTGTCACAAATCTGCAAAATTTTTTCCAATATATTTAATGAAAATATTCCACATATAAGTGGACTCATGCAGTTCAAAGCCTGGTGGTTCAAGGGTCAACTATAGTATTCACAACCTACTTCATCAAAGACCCCACCCCCTTTGCTACTATATTACAGGACACTATCACTACTTGTGTTATTTCTCTGCCTCCTTCTTAGGCAATTGTGGTTTTGGCCCGAGATAGAAAATGGAAAGTTAAAACTTCTCTGTTCATTTCTACTTTCTTTAAAACTATTAACAGTTTCTTGCATGCCTTTTCAGGAACAAGACAAAACAATGCATACACCAGAATATATGATAGATTACATAGAAAGTATTGATAATACCATAATGTTTTCGATTTTCCCTTTTTTATTAAATAAAATTTGAAGACCTTTCTGTGACAGTATATATTGTTATTTTTTCTTCATTTCTAACAACTGCTGAATATTCCATTGTATAATAATGTGTTTGGCCATGACAAACACTTAGATTGTTTCTGGGTTTTTTTTTTTTAATTTATGAGTATACGTATGCATGTATGTTTTATAAACGGATTTGCATACCCTGGGCACTTGTGCATACACTTGGATGCACCTTCACAGATAATCTCCATAGGGATTCACTAGGTCAGAAAATACGTACATTTAACATTTTGAGACAGGAATCCAACACCAAGTCAGGAGCTTGAGACAGAATGCAAGATAGGAGCTTACATTCGAATAACGAGACATAAACAAAAATAAGAAAAATATTAGAAGAAAACCCAACAGGATAAGGAGATAGCGACTGGAAAGAAAGAGTGTTGGGAGGGTATAAGCTAAGATCTGCCAAGAAAGAAAGTGCAAATATCTCGGGCAAAGAACGAATGTGGCATGTTGTAGAAATAGTAAGCAAGCCAACGTGGCTGGAATGTCCGGGGCAGTTATGTTCGATTAGTAAGCAAGGACTAGTTCATAACCTACGGCCTCGAAGGCAATAATTAGGAGTTCGGATTTTGTTGCTAATTACGGGGGTTCTCGAGGATTTTATTTTTATTTCGTTTACCTCGAGGACTTTAAACATAAGATCCACAATGAACAAGAGGACGCGTGAAAGCACTTTCGCAAGGGGTGGCCGTGGGAAAATTACTGCATCTCGCTAAGGCCCTTTCCCCCTCCGTGAATTGACGTACTAATCGCCGCCTAAAATGTCTAGGCGAGCGTCACAGGCAAGGCTTCGGGGCCGCAGCCACCAGCTTACCTGTCCTCCAGTACTGACTCCATGGGCTCCACCCCGTCGGTGTCCACCGCGCGGAGACGGTCGGCAAAGGTGATGGCCTCCTCCAGCCGCGCCACGGCCTCCCGGCTGCCGAAGTCCACAAGCGCTAGGCGCTCCAAGTGCTCGATCACGTCGGCCGTGATCCGGCCACTTCCCTGGGTGGGGATGAAGCGGAGGGTGTGGGTCAAAGGTGGGGCGTAGGCCGCTTAGAGACCCGCTTCATCACCCGCCTAGATGTCCCCAGCCTTTACCTGAGGATCCGCCTTGGAGGTGAAGCCCCGGAGCCAACCCCCAGGGCCGCGAAGGCCCAGCCATACAGCCCGCGCCCACATTTGTTTATCGGCCTCCGTAGTGCGTTCACGTAAGGCCGAGCGCCGAGCCCAAGAATGACGAAGGCAGAGCGCGCCGCCACTGCCGCCATGAATAGTGTAGGGGAGGCATGCACCGACATGAAGCGCGAGTACGACCAGTGCTTCAATCGCTGGTTTGCCGAGAAGTTCCTAAAGGGGGACGGCTCCGGGGACCCGTGCACAGACCTCTTCAAGCGCTACCAGCAGTGTGTTCAGGTGAGCTGTGGCCGAAGCCCTCTCGCCTCTACCTCCAGGCCCCAGACTCTGCGGTGTCCCTGGCCACGCGCAGTTTCTCGCAGGTGTAGAGACGGGGAGGGTGAAGAAACGCCTCAATGTCAGTGACAGGAGCTTTCTCCCCTACCATCTTCCTTCCCCGTACCGCCTAGTATCTCTCTGAATAACAAAATATTTTTGCAGTGTTTTACTTTTGACGGGTACAGTAACAGTTTTGGGTTCATTTGGTGCTCCTAAATTTTCAAAGTGGGCATAGTTATTCATATTTTATACATATTAACACTGACACGCTGATACAGGAAATGATTAGTCCAAGTTCACTGGAATCACGTTGCCTTGATTTTTGCGGTGGTGCACTTCTCCAGTATTATTTTGGGGGAGTTTAAGTACAGGGAGAAGAAATCCCGAGGCAAAATACCTCTAAAAACCGAAATCAGTCAAAGGGAGAAACAAAGTTTAAAATCCATTTATTGCTTACAAACGGCAGTCCGGGACCTTCTCTTTCCTGCTCCAGGAGCAAAACCAGCACTCCCCTCACCTCTCAGGTACAGGTAAGCCCTCCTTGTCCAGGTAATTACCCATTGATATGGAGATGATCTTCTCTCCACCCCTGAGGAATGATGCAAATGCACTAAAGCCATACTACTGTCCACCTCTGAACACCTGATATTCAGGTGTACTAAAGCCTGGAGAGATATTCTGGAAATGTTACCAGAAAGAGAGGCAGGATTTTAGCCTCTCTGGCCTGTTAGACATGGAGTCTCATTTTTTTGTTACAATCCCTTTATTGGCCTGTCTTATCTCTTGACCAAGAAATTTTCATTCCACTCCAATGAATGTGAACTGCTTTGAATTTTAAAAACTGGATAAGGCACTCCCAAGTAATTAACTTAAAACATCTTCAGGGTAATTCCAGGTGGAGTTGATTTTTATCCTAGATAGAAAACTGAGGCTTGCTCAGTCACGTAGCCAGTAAATCCAAAAACCCATATTTGAACTTGTTTTTGTCACAGTAGTGATACTGTTATGAATTGTGATAATTCTTCACAACTCCTTTCCAATCTCTCTGATCTTAAACACTTAATTTTTTTGTAAGCATGGGGCTTGAATCATGGTTGGAAGTCCTTAGTAGTCCAGTCTGATTTATTTTTGTATCATATTTACAAACTTTGGTCCTCAACCTTCATATAGACCTTTATTTATCATGTTTTCTCCTCCCATCAGAAAGCAATAAAAGAGAAAGAGATTCCCATCGAAGGACTGGAGTTTATGGGCCGTGGCAAAGAAAAGCCTGAAAATTCTTCTTGACCTTGACAGTCACCTTGAAACGGACTCCTCAAATCAGGAAATTGAGGACTCTGGATTTTGTCTGTGAAAATGGCCATCAATTTGATAAGGAGTTTAGGAGGGAGGAGTTTTCCTTCCTTGATGCTTTCCTCTCACCTGTAAAAGATGAACCATCGCTCTTTTCTTTGAGATGATTTCTCACTTTCTCTGCATCTTGCAGGAACCCAATGTGCTAAAATAGAATGACTTGGGGGATTATGATTGCAATACTTGGTCTAAGATCAGCTTTAAATACATAAATACTGGTAAACTTGTTAGAATGATCAGGGTTGCCTGACCTCCTGAGTTATGCTGCAAAGGACATTAGATACACTGTACTGAGGTTAATCATGGAAGAAATGGGTTAGGACTTCCCTTTTCTCTCAGGGAGCTAATGCTCTGAAAAGGGATCCCAGCACAAGTTTTATTCAATGCTTGGAAGCAGTTTTATTTTTATCATAGTAACTTAACTATTAAAATTGCTGGTGGACTGAGTTAGCCAAGTGATCACTTTGACAGTTCCCTGCCTTAACAAGATGTTTTAAGATCTCACGTAAGATTATAAAAGCTTTAAGAATGCTGCAGTGAACTCCAATTCAGAGCTCACAGTGAAGTTCAGGAATCGAGATCCCTGGAGTAATTTTGGAAGATCCTAAATTGCAGAGATCTGCTGTTGCGGCTTTCAACCCGTCAGTGAATTAAAGTCAACTGGTATTATAAAAATGGCAAAATGCTACATCTGATTAAATGAGGGGAGAAAAGAGTTTGCTTTATTTGCCTTGATTATCCACCCTGCCCTATAATGTATGTAATCATGAAGATGGAATAAATCATAACATTTAGTCTCTTAGCATTTTTTGCTCCTGGAACTTGGTGGAACACTTTACAGTATTACCCTGTAACCCCATCCTTTCTGTTGGGGGTTCTGTGTATACACTGGGGAGAGTTTTATGTTTTATAATTTAAAAGTGAAGAAAAAGTAAAGATTTATCTAAGCCAGGTAGCATGGTATAGCGATTAGAAACCTCAGTAATTTTTTATATTTATTTCCACACACTAAGCTACATAAATTGTCTTCATAATGTAACAGCACAAAAAATGTCAGGATTAGGTGAGCACTTACACACTTCAGAATGTCATGTAGTCCCCACAATTGTGTGTCTTGTGTAATTTGGTTCAATTTATTCTATATGCCCAATATAGTATGAAACAGTTTACGGAAGGCCTAAATTCTACTATCTTCTACCAACTACTTCACATTTAATGTGACACCAATCCTTCATGTCATTTCAGTACATTATATATTTATGTTTCGACAGGTTAATGTCCAATATACAAGGATTATAAAAGATAACCTGGTGCCCAGTTGAGGGAAGCCAGGCAGCATGTTGACATTAAGAACATCTGTCCTGAACTCAGACTGGCCATAAGCACAACAGCTCTACAGGGGCTCAAGCTCAGGCTGTGGTTAGATCATGGAATGGCATGGACAGCAGGGATTCCTTCCTTTTCTGGCAAGGGCTTTCCCACCATTTCCATACGCTTCACCTCTGCAGTACTCGTTTCCTGTATGTACTACACAGTACCACAACTTTGTAGCCTCTTGAATCATACCACAAAACTCTTGGTTAAGCCTTGAGAATAAAATCAGCCCAAGCCAACTATGTTCTTTTATTGTAATCACTACTGATGTCATAGTTTTTTCTGATTGTTGTTCATGCTGTTTTAACTTCATCCTCCCCATACAGTGACTTCAACTATCCCAGCTACTTCAAAGATTTTAAAAGGAAATCTTAATTTCTCTTTAAGGGTGATTTTATAACTATTACCATTGTTTTTCTCAATTTTTATGGCTACAGGAAGGTTTTAATACCAGAAACAAAGCCAGTATTATATGCAGAAAGGTGTCGTACTGCCTTTTTCCAAAAGTTGCTGACCCTTCCAGCCTTCAAGACTCCAAATGAGTGCTGAGAGATGACCCCAAATGAGTACCTGACATCTTTGGAGAAAATCGGGTATCTGATTATAAGGAGTATTCTGCAACAAATGCTGGTGGAATGGAACAGGAGAAAGCTGAAAAGGAGCAAGCACTTCCTCTGAGAATCGTAGTTACCTCTTTCAGATGTAAACTGCAACCATTCTGCTAGCCACTCAATGTCTCTGCCATCCAGAGACTATCAGTACCCAATCTTGATACTTAGCTCCACTCCTGGTCTCTGCTTAATGCACCCCAGGTATAAGAAACCAAGGACAACATGTTATAAACACCATCATTCAGAGACCTGAATTTGACCTGAATCACTGTAAACAGCAGCTACACACGTTCATTGCAGAAACTGAACATTAATAATAATTTCTGAGAGAAAAATACCACCAAAGAATGCAACTCTCAGCTCATGACCAATCTAGGTTATTTATTTAAGCCATCTCCTGCCATAAGCAAAGGGATGGAAAAATAAGTATACTGGTCATCATTTAATATAAGTAAAGAAGGTGAGTGTAAGGTCCCATACACTTTTCTGGTCCGTGTGCAGAGTAATGGTCCAAACCAGTGCTGTGGTCCCCACTGGGTAGTGGTCCGGGTTCTCTCTATTCATCTTCATAGCCAGTTGGAAGCGGATTCACGTGAGGGTTATGGAATAGAGTATGGTTACCATCTCCCCACGGAAAGGGCTGTGGAGTAAAGATGTCAATTAGGCAACTCCAGAAAACAGTTCAGAAGCAGCACTGCCATGAACTGCTTAAAAGACAGGGTGGCAGATAATACATTAAAAACAAAATGGAAACTAGTCCTTTAACTACTGGCATTATTTCAGCCTTCCCATCATTTAAAGGAGCTCTCAAACCTTTCAGGGGAGTCCTTAAGGTAAACAATAGAAAAAGGAAGCTCAGGTTCATTAGTCATAAGCCTCTCCCCGGCAACTGGTCTAACATCGCTGTTTCTCAAAGTACAATTCTCACGCCACTTCCATCAGAAATGGTAAGGGTGGGTATGGGCAGAGAAAATGCTGATTAAATGCTGATTTCTGGGCTCCACCTGACATAAAGTGGAAACTGCAACCTATGATCCTCAATTATTTTGTGTGCTACCTTTGAAAAATAATTGCTCTAGGGCAGTAGTTTCCAATTCAGGATGATTTTTGCCCTTCTGGAGACATGAGGAGGAGTGAGTGGTACTATTGGCATCTAGTGGGCAGAAGTCAAAGATGCTGCTAAACATCCTACATTCAAATAGCACCCCTACCCCCCTGCGCACCTCAAAACTTATCCAGACTCAAATGTCGTACTGAGGTTGAGAAACGTTGCTGTATGGTTTCTGATTCTGGACAAGGGCAAGGGTGGGGTTCAAAGACTCCAACATCCTTTCTGAATCTAAGAATGTAGTTTCTAAGAGGCCAGTGATTAATGGCTGAGCGATTAACAGTTATTACAGAAACCAAAAAAGGTTCTTGTTAAGAATATCTACAGCAAGCAATAAAAAACAAATCGTTATATTTATATCAATAGCCAAGAGATAAAATAGTTGAAAAAGATAACTAATGTAGAGATGGAGAATAGAAAAAGCTGTCAGTTTCTTCATTATACAGCTAGTTAACTGCCAGATGCCCAGGTCCTAAAAGGTGAATCACCTTACGACTTTGCCATTTTAAGGGGAGTTTCCAAATCTCCAAGTTTTATACAATCGACAACCGTTTCAGAACAGTATCAGGAGGCGGCACGTGGGATGAATCGGTTAAAGGAATGCCGAAAGGCACTTATTGTATGACCTTGAAGAACACTCCAGACATGACCCCGGTGTCAGTTTCCTGCCCGCAAAATTTGTGAGGATTAGATGAGAAATCGCACACCCCCAACACCCACGCTTTTGGACAATGAAGAACCTGAATTACGTATTTGGAATAGAACAGACATTCGAAGAAACTGCAAGGGCGTACCTTGGACCTGATGCGGAGATGCGGGTAGGCGATGAACTCGGGTCTCTCGTGTTCTCCCTGATGCGACTTCAGGAAGACGTTCAGCATGCTCACTCCCACGCCGGGGAGCGCGACGAAGTAGGTGAGTGCCTTCCACATGCGAGCTGCGGAGGGGGAACGACCACTCAACTCAGGACCCGTGCAGGGCCCGCCCAGGTCTCACCCACTCCTCCTCCAAGACCTCAAGCCAAGGTCACAGTCCCGCCCCGCCTCGCCGGACTGGGGCTGAGACCCGACCCGCCGACCACAGCCCCAGTACCTGAGCCCTCCTCGCCGTGGGCGCCACTCGACATAGGCCGCCCCATCTGTGGCCGGTAGCGACCTAGCAGCCCGGAAACCCGGGACCCAGCCGCCGCCAACGCCATTTTCGATCTGAACAGCCGCAGCGCCGGAAGCGGAAACAGAAAGGTGGGCCTTGGTGGCGGGACCACAATCTCAAAAGGAGCTCCGATTGGGCGGCGCCTTCTCTCTCCGCTTAACCCGAGAAGTCGGCTCCCTATTCTCCCGGCAGACAGAATCCTCGAATAAAATCTGCAGACACCGCGCTTGAGGGAGCGTGCGCTCTGCACCTCCGCACGCCCCTCTCCGGTTCCCACCCTGGGAGGCTGAGCGCAAAGGAAAGGTTTGTGCGGCGCATCGTGGCATTCGGGATCGCTCCCTTGGTTGGAGTCCGTGTACACGGCTGGAGGTTCCAAGCACAAACCATCCTATCCAAAATGCCATTCTCGTACCTCCCCATCCTCTGACGTCACTTGTCATCGCTCATGGCAAAATCGCCGTCATCATTATTATTTTGTCTGCCTCCGCTACTGGAATATAAACTGTAATGCCAAGAATTTGTCACTCCAGCATTCCCAGAATCTGGAATCGTGCCGGGCACGTAGCAGGTGCTCGATACAAATTTGCTGAATGAATAGCAACAGGAACCAGAAAGAACCCTGGACTTGGTGCCAGATCTGGATTCCAATCCCTACTCAACGCCCTCAGTGTATGGCTTCTTTAGTCATGCTAGCTTTCTTTCCTTTGAAACTCTGGAAACAAAAATTTGCATCAGTTATATTTTGTCTCAATAACTCCCCACCCCCAACACACACACACACACAACACTTCTTCCCTGTAATCATCTAAAAACAGTTTTAAAAATAAAAGTTAACAATACAGATACATACGATAAAATGGAAGTAAACTTTCTGGTCACAGGCCCCTTTCAGAATATAAAGAAAGCTATGAACCCTTTCCCCCCGAAACGTACTTGCTTGTAAGCACACATTTTAGCAGACAACACTGGAGGAAGAAGGTGCCATAAAGTACATCCTGAGATCACCTGAGAGTCCCTGTGCCCCAGATTAGAAACTCCTGAGTGAGGGAACACACAGGGACTGTAGTGTGGGAAGACTGAGCTCACATCTTGTTTCTTGTTTCTGTACATTGCAGCCCGCTGTGACCTTGGGCTAGTTAGATAAAACTAGTACTTTAAGTTCATCAGTTTCATGAAGACAGAAATTTAGGATATTACTAGAGCTCCACAATCTAGCATTAGATCTTTCTTTCTCTGAATGCCTGGATTTTCACATATTGTGTAATTAGGATCATCAAATCCCTACACATCCTCAAGCACAGCCAAAAAAGTGTATGAGGTCCCCCAGTGTGGCCATGCAAAGGTTCAAGGTCAGGGATCAAGAAACCCTGGGTTCAGATCTCTGGTCTGCCACCAGCTGTTTCATTTTCTCTAAAATGGAAATGTAATATGCATTTCTTCATTTATCCAACAAATATTTATTAAAACCCCTCTCTACCATTGGAAATTACTCATCATCTATACTAAGGAGGGTTTAAAAGTACTAAATTTAAGAAGTATTAACTAATCA